TTATTTATAATCTACTTTGTTAATATATTTTAGCTAGTTTATAGTTTTCAATGTTTATATATTTTATTTCAAATTTGGGCTTGTAAAATTTGTAAATATTTTATTTTGTATTAAGATCCGAAGTTACAATTATATTGTTATAGTTTTTCAAATTCGAAGTTAACAATTTACTTTGCAAATATTTTGTTTTGTATTCAGTTTGACTGCATCCTTTAATCTTATTAATTTAACATAATGAACGTTGATATTTCAAAATAAAATAAAATTGTACTCATGTGAATTTTACCCTTTTTACGAAAATTTCTATTCATTTAACATTTCTTAAGTTTAGCTTATCACATAGGTAAGTGAAAATATATTTGATCACATTTTCAAACATCGTATTGTTGTAAAAAACCGAAAAACCGAAAAACCGAAAGAACCGACTAAAATCGAAATCGAAAAAAATGACTTTTCGTGGTTTGATTTGGTTTTTAGATTTAATAAATCGACATAATTGGTTTAGATTTTTTTTAATGAAAACCAAACCAAACCAACCTATGTACATCTCTAATCACCAGTGACAGTGACAGAATTATAATTTTTAATTAGGAGAATCAAATTATAAAGAAATAAGCATGTATGAGGAAATAAAGAGAATTGTATCTATCTACTCAGTATAAAGGGTGACAATTATCTTGCTTCAATATTGCTGAAATGAAAAAATGTGAATAAGTAATCAGGTGTAAGAAGTATTTCATGCACACGTATGGTTTTGGAAAAGGTCACACTTAAAGAAGGTTTGATATAGATAACCTACTTCCATGACTCAAAGTTGTAACTTATAAATCACACAAGATAACTTTATGATTGCACTTAGGCTCCCCTCGACCCTTTTATTATAGGGAATAAAGAGGAAAAATAAAAATAGGAAAAGTCCACTGCTATGAGTGAGCAATTATATTTTCTCCACAAGTGAAAGCCATTATTTTCAAACTTTAGTACTGAACACAATAAATTGGTGGAAGCAGAGACAAGAGGCTACTTTAAGTTGAGTAGAAAGGGCCTTTTTATGGATACACAGCTGGGAATAATGTTCTCATAAAGGGACAACAGTTGATAAATAATAGTGGAACAACATGGACAATTATTGCTATCAATGTCCTAATAAAGCATTACTATCTAATCACCACTTTGATTTACTTGATTTTTTTAATTCAACTTGTTTTCATATATTTGAAAACATTTGTCCTCATTTTAATTATGACTAATCCTGCCAATAATCATGCATAATTGTTGCAATTAGTGTTCCATGCAACACAAACAAATTGATCCTAGCTAAAAGCCAGTGACATAAGTTTTTATCGACATTTAAAGAAGTGAATAAATGGAAATATTGCTTTAACGACATCATATTTTAAAAAAATAGAAAAGTGTCAATTTTTGTTGGCTAGTCAAGAACATACACATTTAGAAAATGAAGGCAATAGAGATGAGGATGCTCATATCACATGGATGTGTAGGTATATTAGAAGAGACATGATCTTAGGAATGAGGTTATATGGGGCAAGGTTAGAGTGACCTTTGTATATATCAGATAAGATGAGGAAAGCCAAATAAGGTTATATGGGGCAAGATTGGAGTGACCTTCGTATATATTAGATAAGATGAGGAAAGCGAAGCTTAAATGATTCAAGCTTGTAAAGAGGAGCACATATGCACTATAGTGATTAGTGAGCAAGTGTGACAGCTGGTTGACTATAGTAATATAGTAGGTTATAGGGGAGGTAGAGGTAAGCCGAATAAAAATTGGAAATAGTTAATTAGACAGAGCATGACACATCTACAATACTTATTGAGGGCATGCAAGTTTTAGATAAAAAGATTTGAAAATCGAGGAAAAGGATAGAAGGATAATAGGTAGCTGAGCGTTGTAGTATTAGTTACTAGTAGTTAGTATAAGTGTAGTATATATCTTATCCTCCTAATTTTCTCTATTATCCCTTGTTTCATTTGTTCAGTTTATTATGCTATTTTGCTATCGTTTTTTTTAATTATTATTATTATTATCATCATGTTTTATGATAGGTCTATCGAAAACAACCTCTCTACCTCACAAAAATAGGGGTAAGTCTACGGTACATCATACTCTCTCCACATCCTATTTGTAAGATTACGCTAAATATGTTATTGTTGTTGGATAAATAAAAAATTCCGACAAAGCGGGGTCGCCTGACTCAACGTGTCTTTGTCCCTGAAAAAAGCTATTATGTAAAATTGAATCACAAGTATACTACTGTTAAATAAAACTGTGAAATGAAAAGGAATCAAGAGATAGAGATGGCATAATATAATATCTAGATTGGAAAAAAATATAAAAGGACAAATTAAAGCCTATAGCACAACTTATTCGAGGAAACAATATCTTAAATTCGATCTACCTTAAGTGTATCAATAGTTATTTTTCAAGTAAGATGATAAAAAGTACGTCAATCAATATCGAGTTTTGTCAATAAGATATAGACAACTAAACATATATGGAAATGTACTGGAAAAATAAAATAGACAATATTCTATCGATATTCATATAATCCGTTTGATCAAGTTTTAGGGAGAAAATAAGAGTTTCTAAGCCGTATATAACCACCA